GTACATAGTATGAGTGGGTACATAGTATGAGTGGGTACATAGGATCAGTGGGTACATAGTAGGAGTGGGTACATAGGATCAGTTGGTACATAGTATGATTGGGTACATAGGGACAGTTGGTACATAGTATGAGTGGGTACATAGTATGTGTGGGTACATAGGATCAGTGGCTACGTAGTATGAGTGGGTACATAGGATCAGAGGGTACATAGTATGAGTGGGTACATAGTATGAGTGGGTACATAGGATCACTGGGTACATAGTATGAGTGGGTACATAGGATCAGTGGGTACATAGTATGAGTGGGTACATAGGATCAGTGGGTACATAGGATCAGTGGGTACATAGGATCAGTGGGTACATAGTATGAGTGGGTACATAGTATGTATGGGTACATAGGATCAGTGGGTACATAGTATGAGTGGGTACATAGTATGTGTGGGTACATAGGATCAGTGGCTACGTATTATGAGTGGGTACATAGGATCAGAGGGTACATAGTATGAGTGGGTACATAGGATCCGAGGGTACATAGTATGAGTGGGTGCATAGTATGAGTGGGTACATAGGATCAGTGTGTACATAGTATGAGTGGGTACATAGGATCAGTGGGTACATAGTATGAGTGGGTACATAGGATCAGTGGGTACATAGGATCAGTGGGTACATAGTATGTGTGGGTACATAGGATCAGTGGGTACATAGTATGTGTGGGTACATAGGATCAGTGGGTACATAGTATGTGTGGGTACATAGGATCAGTGGGTACATAGTATGAGTGGGTACATAGGATCAGTGGGTACATAGTATGAGTGGGTACATAGGATCAGTGGGTACATAGTATGAGTGAGTACATAGGATCAGTGGGTACATAGTATGAGTGGGTACATATGATCAGTGGGTACATAGTATGAGTGGATACATAGAATCAGTGGGTACATAGGATCAGTGGGTACATAGGATCAGTGGGTACATAGTATGAGTGGGTACATAGGATCAGTGGGCACATAGTATGAGTGGGTACATAGGATCAGTGGGTACATAGGATTAGTGGGTACATAGGATCAGTGGGTACATAGGATCAGTGGGTACATAGGATCAGTGGGTACATAGTATGAGTGGGTACATAGGATCAGTGGGTACATACTATGAGTTGGTACATAGTTTGAGTGGGTACATAGTATGTGTGGGTACATAGGATGAGTGGGTACATAGTATGTGTGGGTACATAGTATGTGTGGGTACATAGGATGAGTGGGTACAAGAAATGAATGGGTACATAGGATCAGTGGGAACACAGGATCATTGGGTAAATAGGATCAACATCGTTTCATTTCAAGACTACTTGGCCTGCTAGTCGATATGTTTAATTTGAAAGTCCCCGACCTTCCATCATTTAACTGGTAAATGGCTCTATCACCGGATTTACCACCTAAATAATGGAAAGATTTGAATATTTAATGAAGAATGTGATACAGTTGACGTATAGGATCAATTGGTGCAAATTAGATAAAGTAAAATTTATTCGGAGAAACAGGAAGCGAAAGATAATGAGAAATCCGTGGAGGATACTTAATCATAATTAAACACACGCTTTTGTAGCTTTTTCAGAATCCAGGAGTATCATTTGTTGGTTACAGCCAGCTGTAAGCTTCCATCCGATATACGCTAAGCTGAAAGAAACAAGAGACGGTGCAGTTGACAGAGTGTCGAGTTATCGCCGGGATCAAACCAAGGCGACTCACTGCCGCTGAGTCAAGGAAATTCATCACCTACTCAAACCAGTCCAATGTGAAGGACCTGAGGTAACTATGAGTTCAACCAGTAATGAGTTGTATCTTCAGGAGCAACGAAAGCTATGATGTATGAAACCTGTTGTGTTGTTATAGCAACTATAACCCACGATAAGTACTATCCATTTTTCAGGAAAGACAAACTGCTCTACGAGGCCAACGCATGCGTGCGATACCAGACGCATTTTTTGCACCCAACAGCTCTTCCCGCTGCGATTATTTAACCTCATGGATTCATTGACATTAATTTAAAATTTGGTCAAAAGGATATCAGCGAAATCTAACCAAAGCTTAGGGTAATACAGCAACTTTTCTAATTGAACGCAGTTTGCATTTAACCTTAACGGTAGTCACGCCCAACAATCGAGCCAAAAGTGTGTAAAATGTTTGTCAACAGAATTAAAAATATTTTGCATATCACACCAATCGGCGAAAACTTGAGGGGTGATCTTGCTCAAAGACAAGGGTATTTTAATCCCTTTTCTTTACCCGGCTAACAACAGAAGACGTACTAGAAATGCGCTTTCTCTTTGGGAATGACGGCGGATAACCGTTCGCGATGACAAAGGCTGAAAGGGAAAACATTTTGATTAGAAGGAGCAGATGAGGCAGGTAAGAGGAAAAGCCCCCTTTAAAAACGAGGATCAGCAGCGGCATAAACTTCTAGCACAAACCCAAGCGAGAGAATTGTGTAATTCGTCATCAAATTTCCGCCTGTAATTTCGTTTACGTAAACGACTGCCTGAGAACTGAGGACTATTTTCTTCTATTGTTTTTCTAGAATATCAAAACATCTGCGTTACTTTTTCAAGCAGATATTTGTTTTCTGCACGTTCTGAATGGCATTTTGTGTTATGTCTCTAAAGTGATAGGTCGTTTGAATAACGGTGTAAAATTTTTGAGTGATTGTCTATTCGTCCTTCGGGTTTGTGAACGCCTCCACCCAGACAGCTAGTTTTAAAATGGACGAACTTCCAGCATCTCGCTCCATGGACGCCGCAGTAGTTGGTGGAGCTGTCTTGGATTCATCCATTGATGAGGCGATCAGATTTCTATTTCAACGTCGATCGGTTCTATGACAGAAAACCTAACGCAAGTGGTCGAATCTAGGCTAAGAACTCAAAGTTTTTCTGAAACAAACGGTGCTACAGTTGAGAAAACCGTGGAGAAGGCTTGTCGCGAAAACTCTACCTGCAATCGGAAGGGAAACCAGCAGCAACTGAATCACCTGAGTTGCAATTTCTTAACAAATTCGATGAAGCTTCGAACACCGTGAAAAGTAGTTTCTTAGAGACAGTGCAGCGCACTCTGGATAAAGGTACTGCTTTGGTATCCAAAAGAGTAAAGCTAGCCGATAAGAGCGAGTTTGGTTAGCTAACAATCAACGAATATCTATCTGTCGAGCTCGCATCAAATTCTGATTACGAAAAGACTAATGTTTCCAGGAGAGCGGAAAGGAAAGCGGTTAGGATGGTCGTGGGCAGCAACGAACCAATCCCTCTCGAAGACTATCAATTATCCAGGCAAGCACTTCGATCCCTCCAAGCACCCTAAATTCGTCGGCAGGCTACCAGCTAAAGCGCAGAGATTTCAGTAACTTCCGCGGCTTTGATCCCTGCTTCAAGATGAGCAAAACATTTATTCCTCCTTCCATTTGGATCTTGAACCTCATATTTAGTGGCTTTTTTCTGCTTTGGATATATGGCGTTACCACGCAGGCCATATTCCAGTATTCTCCATGATTCATAGCATCTTGCAGTCATTTGGCGTAATTAAGTTAGCGCACGAATAAAGTAACTGGAGCTTTGCTTTTTGGCGTGGCTAAATCTATATATTAAACCTTGTATTGATCGTCAGAGGGCAAGTAGACTCAATATTAACCATCATTTCCGTCAATAATGCTAATAACATTGATAATAAAGATAATAATAATTATGATGATTATGGTGATGATGATAATAACAATAACACTGACTAATAATAAAAATAATAATAACGGTTAGCTTTTTCTGTTTTTACTCTATCAGTGTCTACAAGCGATTTGAAATGGAAAAATACCCTTGATTCCAATTTCCAATCACCAAAAGGGAGGGATAACTACACGAAAGGACCGTTTCACGAGTTTTTTTCCCCTCTATCAGGTCATCTCATATCATAACATAAGGTAGATGGTCACATAGGATCAATGGGAACATAGAGTCAGCGTAAGATCAGTGGGAACAGAGGATCAATGGAAACATTGGATAAGTTGTAACATAGGATCAGTGAATAAATAGGATCAGTGGGAACATAGGATTAGTTGGGTACATGGTTTTAGTGGGAACATAGGATCAGTAAGTTCATAGGATCAGCGGGTGCATAAGATTAGTGGGAAAAGAGGATTAGTCGGTGCCTAGGATTCGTTTGAACATAGGATCCATGGGACATAGGATCAGTAAGAACATGGGATGAGTGGGAACACAGGATCAGTGGGTACATAGGATCAGTGGGAAACATAAGATCAGTCGGGTGCATAGGATTAGTGGGAACATAGGATTAGTGAACGTAAGATCAGTTGAAACATAGGATGAGTGGGAACCCAAGATCAGTGGGAACATAGGATCAGTTGGAACATTGGATCGGTGGGAACACAATGTCAGTGGATACATAGGATCAGTGGGAACGTAGGATCAGTGGATACATAGGATTAGTGGGAACGTAGGATCAGTAGGTATATACGATCAGTTGGAAACTAGAATCAGTGAGAACATAGGATCAGTGGGAATGTAGGATGAGTTGGTGTATAGGATCAGTAGGTGCATAGGATCAGTGGGAACATAGGATCAGTTGGTACATAAGATCAGTGGGAGCAAAGGATCAGTGGGAACATAGGATCAGTGGGAACATAGGATCAGTGGGTTCATAGGATTAGTTCCTAAATTCGTCCAATCGTAAACCTAGTCACCCCATCCCATATGCGTTTCACTTAGATAAGACATACCAATCAGAAATCAACGTCTTTGAAAGAAAAATATCATCTCTTAGGTCCTTTACAGATCATCAGTTTCATCATATTTGGTGACCTTCGCGGCAAAGAATTGATTAGAGGATAAGGATTTGCGCATTTTGAAACTATTCGAGACTGCTTCAGCAGTTAACGTGTGCTAAATTTAAAAAGGTGACAAAAGGTCATTAATCAATAAAATAGTCAACACACATGGAGTTACCTCATTTATTATTAGCTGCAAATTTAATTAGCCTACAACTCTTGAGCAGAGAATCGTCATTATTCTAATTAGTCTTTATGAAGTAGTAGAGTTATTACCGTTCAAATCATACATAAAAAAAGCTGGTGCAATTTCAATTTTACGATATATTGCCAAGAAGGAACTCAAGAGTAGTTTCAACAATACGTAAGTATCGGGAATATATCTAAAATGCGATAATATGTACTCACTGAAATTCTAACGGTATCAAAAAAGTAATTGTCACTCACAAGTTGACAGCTAACAAAAGTCAAGAAAGCCTTATTTGAGAATGGAGTCGTCTCGGATAGAACCCGTTTGCTATGCACTAGCATTTCAGTTTTTCAAAAGCTATCTTAAGGATTTTCGCTATGTTCAGAGCAGATTTGAACTGACTATAAGAAACCGCTGATGATGGCGACTTTCTTCATCGCCTGTGTGTCTTCTCTCTCTGAATCCTCTTTATGGCTTTTGAAAATCCTTGGGAGGTATCATTATTCGGAGTTTCACTAAAGATTGCTTGTTTTGCAATGCCGTGCTCACATTGTTCCGAAGACTTCTTTCGTAGTAGAGAAAGTTTCTAGTGTACTGTATAAGCAGAAGTTTCTTACTTACGTTTTGGCTGATTTTTTTTAAAATAATTTAACGAAAAAAAATGGTGTTTCAAATCGACCATAACCAATCTTGCATCCAACAAGCACGAATGGAATAATTATTTTATTAAACTAAATTATTCAATATGCATGGGAGAAGTGTTGGTTTCCAGCCAAAAGAAAATCCAACTCAGCAAAACTTGAGTAAATCGTTTTCCATACAAGGTGATTCGCCACGGGCCTCGTTGGCTATTTACCCATATTGTATCCGATCGGCGCTCATGGAATAATTGTTTAAAACGTTTTTAAACATTGTTCTGGAAACCTCCAAGCTGGTTGCTATATAATTATCATTAATTCAGGAAGTCTTCGGACTTCAAACTCACTATAAAAAAATTTTGGTAAGTCTTTTGCTACCAGATGAGCTCATCGACATCAAATTCTACAAAATCACTCAAATACCCGCCAGAAAACTTTGTACTCTGTATACTACATGCATATGTCGCTATGAATATGTTTTGCAGAAAAAAAAATTTTGAATTTTTGATCCAGCACGTACTGATTTATTTATAGTTTTACTAATCCTGGTGATGAATGGATCATTAAACAAAACTAACTGCAATTTCGAGACACCAATACCATAAAATGTTGGCGACCTTGGGATAGAATGTGTTCTCGTATTGGGCTTTTTCGCTGTGCGACTTCGCTCAAGAATAGCATGTATTTTAACCCAACTAGCTGCCGATATTTTTGCAGTAATGGCGTCTAATCGCAAACAGTTAACCGATAAACGCGTTTATGTTCACTATGTTATATGGCGATATTTAGTTATTTATAAAACAGTAACGGTTGGGACAGTCCGTTGGCACCAAACGGTAAACGTAAAAGGAACTACAATTCTTCACCCTAATATCTCTTGATCGGTAACAGCACCGAGCTGAGCTCCTGCTGAAGCAGACGGTCCCTGCTACTTCTCCCTCATCCACTGTGGGGTGACTACTTCTCAACCAGCCTGGAAACTGTGCGCCGCACGTGTCAGGATCTAGACAGTTAGTCGGCATTTTTACTCCCGAAATGTTCAGGAAACGGTACCAACCAGTTTTGAGATTGCTATCACATTGTCCATTTTGCGAGTTTTGGCGATGTATGTTTCTATCGTCATCGTGTAGGACAGTGTGGACTTGGCATATGTCAGCTAAATGGTAGAAAATCGACTGGATTAAGCCTAAAATTTTCGTCGTTCGGTGAGGTGAAATCATATCAATCAAAGTATTAACATTGGTTCTGACTAATATTATGACAAAAACCATGCACATCAAGTCCACAAATGTGATATAAAAAATAAAATATATGTTTCTTTTTCCCTAATGACGTGTTCCAAGCAATTTAAAGGTACTAAAAGCTAACGTGATTTGTTACATGGCCAAACCGGAGAATTGCCATCCAGCCAAAAATATTTACAACAAGTCCATTCTGTACCATCTTCAAAAATTTTTAAGGCGTTGATTAAAAGAGACTAACCTTTACAAGTCAAACCATTTCCAATGTATTTAGGATCACAGGCACAGCTGTAGGAGCCCTGGGTATTACTGCAGAAGGCGTTCTTATCGCAGATGTTCATGTTTGAACACTCGTCGATGTCTGATGAGGATTAAGTGCACCACGTCACAACCCAGAGTTGGATGTTATGATGAAAAATGTTTTGGTTAATCAATATATAATGAACACCTGTACAAAATAATGCAAACCTAATCTAAAAAGATGTAGGGAAAAATGAAAAAAATCCACCATTTCTACTAAGGGGTGAATTATGGAGTAGAACTACATTTTAAGATAAATGTTTGACTACTTCCGGCACCATAATTTGAGTTAAAAGGACGGTTTAGATTACTCTCCGCTTTGAAGATCTGGGATTGTATGTATAGAAATAGGAGCAATGAAAATTGCCTCTCTTCGGTTATAAAGGACTTTTCTGAACATTGAAGGAAACTTATCAGAATCACCTGAGCAATTTTGTCCATCTCCAGTGTATCCAGTGTGGCATGTACATACATGTGATCCAATGGTGTTGGTACAGTTAGAATTCACATGACAAGAAAGATTTCTTGCACATTCGTCAATATCTGAGAAATGACAGGCTTTCAATCACGATTCTTGGAGTATGATACATGTATACTGAAAACCTCCTTATTTTGAAAGTTGAGTGTGATAGTTGTCGTTAATGAGTTGTTGGTCGCTATGTTTTATTAAAGAGGAAGCTGGTCAACAAAAATGTTCAGCATTTTGTCCTTCTGCTCTTAAGTGGGATTAAGGATTTTTATTTTCTACCATTGGTAAAAAATATTAAGATAGGGTAACTACTTTATCAAAACGAACAAAAAAACAAACAAACAAACAGAAAACAAACGCAAGCAAACTAACATTTCTCAAAGTCGTAACGAGGTAATTACAATGTTAAGGCCTTTACCTGTGCAGTTCCGTCCATCTCCGTTAAATCCAAATAAACAGGTGCACACAAAGGATCCATTTGTGTTTTGACAAGTAGCTTTCAGGTGACAATCGTGAGTATTTTTTTGGCATTCATCAATATCTAAAAAAATGGGAAAGAAAAGAAAAACTCTACAACGGTAGTGGTTACACGAGTGAGATATACATTCGCTTTTTAAACTCTTAGGAGGTGAAAAAGCATTTAGTTAGTTATCATTGCGACAAATTAATTGTTAATTTAGTCCAAACCATCTAGACACCATTCCAAACTGAAGCAGGATATCAGTCGTCAAAGATCAGCCTTGGTAGCCTTCCTTTAAGATACGCACTCGACGGCCAAACGTGATATATAAATATAGGTGGTTCAAATACTCTTTGTTCTTATGGGCATATTCTGTAATTAACCTTTTTCGATATCCCTTGATTGAGAAACCGGACTGACAAGTTGCATTGTTTTGACACGGTAGGTTTTTACCACAGGCGTTCTGAAAGGAAGAAAACAAAAAAAGAAGAAATATGGATGTATTGAATGATTGATAGATGGATGAGCGAACTGAAGTTTTGAAAATTAATGGCTGTTTTTCACGATTCATCGAAAAGCGTAGAGTTGCTGAATTTAAGTTATATTTTATATTTTACCTTTGAGCCACGATAATAGAAATCGGCATCAGTTATCAGGTGAGTATCATATTCAAGATGAGTGGCGTTATTCAGTTCACAGACATAAGCGATTCCTTCGCCCTCGGGTTTTTTTTTTAAGTTAGCACTGACGCAGTTGTCGTTCATGTAGCAGAAAAGCTCACAGTGATCCAAGTCTTTGACGTATTTGGTTTCGATTTCATGGCTTACCAAACGTTTTTCAGCAAAGAAGAAGTAATCTGGAAACCGCATTGTGCGATCTCGCTCTGAAATAAAGCAATCAAAACATAATTAGTGAACAATTTTTCTTATCAGGTATAAATTAACTCAAGATTCGAGGTTTTAAGCTTAAAAAATAACACGCGTGGTGAACAAAGAACTGTGATCTCAATCAAACCACGACTACGGGAAAATGGAGAAAAATTAACACTACCTTTATTAGAGGATTTGTGTCTTCTAAGAAAATTGGTATCTAGGACAAAGTTTTTCACAAGATAATTAACCCCAGCACCCCTCCTCCCTCCCAAAAGTTCCTTTTCTACTTCATGATCGATAAGTTTTGAAAAATCATTTTTCTTTAAAAACCTTTTTTCGCTTTCTTCATTATACAGGTTCTTGAAAATTTATGGTTTCTTACTTGAGTTTACATGATCGCCTTTGGTTATATAGACCGATTATCATGGGGAAAGGAAATTTATGCCAGGCCATCGTTGTGTGGCATCACTCAAGAGATTCATATATGGGTTCAAGATGTTTCTATCGATAAATTCAGTATACATTAGAAAATTTGACTTTTTCCCGGAAAATAGTAATTTCGAGTGAAAAAAGTCAAACACTATATTTCTCAAACAAAAAATATCGAAAGTTCCAACAATATAACGGTAATCATGCCACTTGTTTTTGAGGTGAGCACCTTTAAACGAATAATTAAATATGTTTGCGCGAATGACTTTCACAGAGACTTGCACAATACGCGATTTTAACTTTTGATAGATAAGCTATGCTCACGGACGAATATGCAACAAGAAAAATGTAACTATTCTTTATCGTATGTCAGCACTGTTCTCTTGTAAAAATAATTTCTCTTAGATGGTTAAGAGTAGTAAAAATGTGCTTCCGTACGATGCAGAAAGATCAAATTCCCGCCTAATAAATCACATAGAAATTTAACATAACATAGTGCCTGCTTTAATGTTATTGGGAGAGGAGAAATGGGGATGTAACAATTTTAAATGGAGTAATTTGTATTTGCCGAAGTTTTTGGTCGTTTTGCATCTAACATCCAATTTTCTGAATAAGGAACTATAAAACATTTTTGTTAAATACCCTTTAATTTTTCAAAAATGAGTTCAAATCATGGGTGGATGTTGAATGTAGGTTTTTGACTTAGTCTTTGCTAATTGTTGTAACTTTAACTCATTTTTTATCGGCAAAAGAGAATAAAGGACATATATAAAATAAGGTTGCACCCATAAGTGAATCGAAGGATAAAAGAAGAAGAACAAATGTACAAGGATTAAAAATCTCCTTTCAGAAATTTCGGCTCTAGATGTGAAGTGATAACGACTCGACCTCGACAAAAACTTCAGAGGAAATGATATATTCTTATTGAACGAGAAAGAAATACGATCTTAAATAAGTTGGCTAATTAACATTTACAGGCTGCTGATTATCGTCATTTTTATGGAACAAAAATCTCGTCGATCGTTTAAACTCTTTATTTATCCACAAAATTCAATAACCAAAGGTTCAAGAAAGATTCAAACACAAAGCTTCCAAACTGTATCCGATCAATGATCCTTTCCAACACATTCAGCATTTTGGACGGGTTTGAAACTTTAGCGACCTACTGGTAGTTTTTGAGGTAAACAGAGCAACATATTGTTTACCAGAGCTTTCTTTTTGCATGGAAATAAACATTTAAGGGTTCGGTTAGTAAACCCAGAGTACTGATAATCTGCTTTCGTTGAAAAGACCCGAAGTTAGTTTGCTCTCAGTGATCAACTCTTACCTCTTAAAATGCAAAGCTCTTTGGTCTTCACTGCTTTTGAGGTAAAAGTGCTTTCTTTTATAACAATATGGTAGCTATGGTTACCATAGAAACACCTGGTTTCAAGCCAAAACGATGATTAACTTAAGATAAGAACTTCCTTGTTTCTTCTACAATGTCACTGAACCATGGCAATAATTACGCAATAGTTATCACGATCACGATCTCAAATTTTGCAATAAGCGTAATTTTCAGCTGGTAACGTTAACAAATTATCATTATGAAATATCTTATTCGGCCTAAATTAGTTTTTAAACGTTGTTTAAGAAGATTTCCTTCAAGTTCTCAAATAATCCGGTGTTTATCTAAGGAAACTCCACCGTGTGATAATAAAGGGTCGCTAATGAAAACTAATACGGAATGGATGTCTTTGACAAGAAAATATTGCCAGCCTCGAGAAACGTTAAGCTTTCCGTTGCATAAGCTATACACAAAAGCTTTAACTCACGGACGTCAAGCATATGCAATACTGAAGAAATGTAAAATGGTTTCCGTGTTTACATAGCCTGATGTAAACACGCGGGAGGTTGGGAGAACACGAGATAAGCGTAGGAAACCACGACGCGAAGCGGAGTGGTTTCCAGCCTATCGAAATTTGCTTCCGTTCTTTTAATATTACTCGTGGTTTATTGAATTGTCCACTGTCTTGTCTCATGCAACGTTAAATCAACACGTAAAAACGACTCGAAATTATTTTAAAAGTTCCTATTCATGTAAAATCGTTCGCTCTTCTTCCTAGGGGTTCGTCACCACAAGTTAGACAAAAAGCACGTTTTCCGTCCGTATGGTAAAATCATCCCAACAATTAATTTTGTGCAGGCTGAAACATTTAGCATAGTTTATGCGCACTTTATCAGAAAAAACAATACATTTTCCCTTTATTTAAAATAGTAAATTTTTTGTTCAAGATGACAGACAAGGCAGATACAAGAAGCGGTTTATGTCTTTCTATAAGACACTAAATGACCTCATTAATAAATTATCTCTTATATTTTTTCAGCTTGCCTAATTCTTCGGTGGACGGTTCTCGAATTTTCAAGTTACGCTTAAAATTGTTTAAGTTCTCATTAGGTGCGATATACCACTGAGTAATTATTCGTGCCTTGAATTATGCATTGCCTCCATTTAATTTTATACGGTCTTCTTAAGAACAGGAATTTATGAAGAAACAGTTTCTATGGTTTTTCCTCCTTATAACTTTACTTTTACTGTGCTGTCTTGTAACTTAACCAGCCCACTGAGGAGAATACGGGAACATGGAGAAAAATTAATACTACCTTCATTTGCGGATTTTTGCCAATCTGACTCACTCACTCACTCATGCCCATTATGCCGTGTGGCACTTAGGGCGGCTTTGCTTATCTGAGAACATAGATATATAGGACAATTTTTCATGTCTCAATTCCGCGCTCAGAGATTTCCTCATTATTTCAGCTGAGACATCTATTTCGATAAAGAAGGTTAACACATAAAATGCTCAGGGAAAAGACAAGTTTAACTAATGTTTTTAATTGTTTTGTTTTGTTTTTTTTTATGTCGCTGTTACCGCTGTTATATCTTAAATTCCTAATTTTTGTATAATAGGGACCTAGATATTTAACTCCAGCCCCGACTCTCTCCCCAAAAACGTTAAAAACAACAATGAAACGAGAAAAAAAATTGGTGTGTTTTGTTCTCCTGAACTATATTATTTTAGGGAAGACAGAGCAAAAGCCGTTAATAAAAGATTTTTTTTCATGATCGCTAAATCATGAAAAAAATATTCCTTTCCCTCTGTAAACCTTTTTTCGCTTTCTTCATTATACAGGTCCTTGAAAATTCAAAGTTTCATATTCGAGTTTACATGATCGTCTTTGGTTATTTAGACCGATGATCATAGAAAGAGGAAATTTGTGCTAATTTCCATTAAGACGAGCCATCGTTGTCGGTTTTTGAATTAGTCTTTGCTAGTTGCTGTTACCTTAACTCTTTTTGTATCAGCAAGGAGGAGAAATATAAATAAGGTTGCTCTCATTCGTGAATCGAAGGATAAAACTTTCTTCGTCGTCTGCGACTCACCTTTTCCATAATTGAATAATGCATTCTAGGCCACGATCATGAAAAATTAAGTAAGTTCCGAGCTAACGGTTTTCTGTTTCTACCCCGCATGCATGGCATGAGATTTAAGTTGATCACCAGCTCTCATCAGTGGATTAAACTTCCAAAATCGATCTGTTTTTTATGAACGCAACCGTTTTTATGAAAATAAATTAAAGAAAAAAGCTTGTAGCTGTCAGTTCTATGTCGAAATTAAAGCAAATGACGCAAATGGATGTTATCCGCTTCGCTTGATGGAGAGAATTGGGTCTCTTAAGAATAATTATTTATCTTTACATGTTTACATACGTATCAGACACCGAAATCAGTCCTTAGAACAATATTATAAAAATTTAGCGTGTGGATATCTCCCTCCACCAGGTGTTCTTAAACTACTCAAAACTCCCTTTATTCTCTTGGAATCTGACGACCGCCTTTTTGCATATCGTGTCTATAACAGACGCATCCTCTCTTTTTGGATTCTTTACCTCCAATTCTCGAGAGGGATTAGGAAATAAAGTGAGGCATTCCTAAACTTGGCTACGTAGATTTAAAATAAGGTTAACTGATATCAGAAGAAAACTTCGAGTCATTATTTTCCGATATTATTTATCAATTCTATCATGCACAATGGTCGTGGTGGTGGTCGTTTATCAGAAATAAGTTAAATTCCTTTTCCCCGACAAGTTCAAGCTTGATCGATGATTGTGCGAGATTCTCCGAATTTTCTTTGCCTTGTTTCCTGACCCTGAGTTTAGTTATGAACATATTTACTTTTACATCTAAGTAAGAAGGTGGTTTGAGTTTCATGATCAAGCTTTAGGTAATTTCTTACGTTAGTGACGCTTGATTCACATGTCCTCACATGTTCTCGAAGTTCCAAGGACTTTAACACACTGACGTTAAGCCTTCTTTCGTATATGCATTCTTCTAATTGCGGATAAGCTTCAAGGTAAACAAGGATGTTTATGGAGATAATGGGGAATTTAATAATTTATTAAGTCTAATTACCACTATTCCTACTCTAACCATTATTGTCTTCCACAATAGATGGGCGCGCGTAGATAATTTCCCTTCTCGTTCACTGCACTCACTCGTGAGTGTTGAACACGAGACAGGAAATTCCATATCTAC